AAGTGGTTGGATAATCTTTCTGCCTTGGCTTCTAATAAAGAACATAACAAAAGGAAAAATAAAAGGTCAGAGTCTGAACCTGGGAAAACTTATAAATGGAGGAAGTGGGGAAAGATGAGTGGAGAAGGATGGCCTGCTTGGTAAGGAAGGAAAAGAAAGCGGAGTAGCACTCATTCTCTAACTCATTAATTTGATCAACATTCATTGAGCACTTTTCATGTGCTTCACTACTTATCTGCCAGTTTATCATATTATGGTGGCTTGCGTGTTGCTGTGAAACTGGAGGCTATGCCACTAGTATTTCAAATACCAGCAGGGTCGCCCATAGTGGACAGATTTCAGCAGAACTTCCAGACTAAGACAGACTCAGAAGAAGGAAGGGGCCATCCGTGTGCTGGGCCTTATTGCATGAGCTGGTGCAATAAGATGAATGAGATGTTGTCCCTGACTTAAAGGAACCCACAGACTGGTAGGGGAGAACCCCAAACTAAAGGAGAAATGGGGAAAGAGACAGGGGAAGTCAGTAGTGTCAGTAATGAATTCTGAAGATTTAAAAGAGAAGGAAGACTTAGATGAAGCCACTGCATTTGGAGAGGAGGAAGTGGTTAGAGATCTTTGTGAGAGCAGTGGTGGGAAAAGAAGCAGCTTGGGATGGGTCAGTCAAGGTGAAGTTGTTGCTAGTGGCCATCTGGCGGATTCCAAGTCATGGCCACCCTATGCATGCAGAGTAGAACTGCTTCATAGGCTTTTGGAAGCAGATAGACAAGCCAGGGACCTCTGGGTGGATTAGAACTGCCAGTCTTCTGGCTTGTAGTAGAGCATTTAACCGCATGCACCACCCAGTGATCCAAAAGAGAAGTGGTGAACTTTTTTTTTTTTTTTTTAATTTTTATTATGATTTGGGGGAAAGTTTACAGAGCAAATTCATTTTCCACACAGCAGTTCATACACATTTTGTCTCATGACAGTGACTGCAATTCCCCACAATGTAACAGCTCTCTTCCCACTTCCTTCCCACAGTTGCCTCTTCGCTGGGTCCTTCCTTCACAGGCATTCCTGCCCCCAGATCCATCTCCCTGGGCAAACACTGCCCTCTGTTCTCCCATGATTGATTACTCCAAGGAGTATATCTACCTGATGTGAATGTTCACTCCATAAGCCTGTCTATTGTTTGGCTGGCTGCCACAGGAGTGAGTTCAGTTTCAGACCTGAAGGGGCCATAGTCTTGGGGGTCTCACCAGGTTCTATCAGACCAGCAAACTTGGTCTTTTTTTTTTTTTTTTTAAATGATTTTGAGTTTTGTTCCACATTGTTCTCCCACTCTATCCAGGATCTCCTGCACTGGCCCCCCTCTAAGTGGTTGATGATGGTAGCCGGGCACCATCTGGTCCTTCTGGTCTCATGGTCATACAGGCTGAGGATCACATGGAGAAGTCGTGAACTTTAATAATATTGATTACTGCCTGGGATGGTCAGTTTCACATGTCAACTTGGTGAGGCTACAGTCCGCAGCCATTCAATCAAATACTAGTCTAGTTATTTCTGTAAGGGTATGTTGTTGATATGATTCAAGTTTATAATTGATGTAATTAGTTGACGTTAAGTAAGGGAGATTATCCTAGATAATCTGGGTGGACCTGAGTTCATCGGATGAAAGGCCGTGAAAGCAGAGCCGAGGGTTATGAGAAGAAATCCCTCCTGTGGACAGCAGCTTCAGCGCATGCCTGACAGTTCCAAGCTACCCTCCCTGGCGGCCTGCACTAGGAATTTCAGACAAACCTCCACCGCCCCACAATCAGACCAGCCAAATTCTTTCAATAAATCCCATAATATATCTCCGACTGGAGTGTTTCCTTAGTCTTATCCTCATTGATACACTACCTCTAGCTGAGAGTGCCAGGGAGGGATTTTTACACATATTATTCCTACCCCTTTCAAAGGTGAGTGCTATCGCACTCATTTTGCAGATGATGAAACTAAAACCGAGAGATTAAGTAACTTGGTCTCAGTCAATAGTGGCGGAAAAGCTAGGTCTGCTGACTGCAAACTCATGCATCTCCATCTTGCCTGTAGGACAGGGTGTGCCCTGCATAGATTGCCAGATTTGCAGGGGTTTTCTGAGCACTGAAGAAGAAACGTTACAAAGATGGTATACACCAGTCACTGAAGGCAAGGTCTTCCGTGGAAAGCTCTGAGAAACACCAGGATCTGGATTCACACCCAGGGGAACAAGAGAAAGCCATCAACACGCTGCAAAACCAGAACCAAACCAGGTGCGCTTGCTTCTGACCCCTGGCCAGCCCTGTGTGTCAGAGGAGAGCTGTGATCCACCGGGTTCCCACTGGCTGATTCTTCCACAATAGATCATCAGGCTTTCTTCCAGCGCACCTCTCGTGGACTCAAACCTGCGACCTTTCAGTGAGCAAGGAAGCTTGTTAACCACTCACATCACCAGGGACTCCAACCCCGCTGCCAGTAGGCGGGAAACCAAGACTAGGGCTCCCGTGGGCCAGGTCATACCACATCCTACAGAAGAAACATGTATTTTTTAAAGTATTCGCAGTCACTCTCAAAGATCCCATTGTAATCAAGATAAGACATATTCAAGACCTTTTGAAAAGAATCAGACTGGAATTGAGGAAGTGTATCAGGATCAGTAAGAAGCTGTGATGGCATAGTGGGTAAGGCATTTGGCTGCTAAGCAGAAGGTTGGCATTCCAACCCTCACCAGCTGCTCCACGGGAGGAAGACGAGGCAATGTACTTCTGTGAGTAAACCCAATGGATGGAGGTCACTGTGAGTCGGAATCCATTAGATGGCAGTGGTTTTTTTTCTTTTTTTTAACTTATCAGGATTAACGATTCTATGCTATGAAGACAAGTGAATATATTCCATAGATCTGAATTAATGTATTAACTAATAAATGTGGATGGGATAAATGGGAAGAAAGAAAATAGGCTGTAAGAAGAAGGGTTACTTGCCAGGGTTTTACATAAAAGCAGACAAAGTTTTTTCAGAAAATTTCTTGTTTTCCTTTTGTTGTTGTTGTTGTTGTTATGTGCCGTCGAGTCGGCCCCGACTCATAGCGACCCCTCCTTGGGTTTCCGAGGGAGTATCACTACCGAAGTAGGATTGCCCAACCTTCCTTCTGAGGAGTGGCCCTTTAGACTACAAAAAAAAATCAACAAATGAATCTTACTACTTTTTCCACAAAAGAAGCACAGTGAATGCCCGAACTAGAATGAGTTTCCGAGTGGTCCCAGGGTAAGGCACAGACAGTGACGTTGCTAAGGGGACGGTGGGGGTTGTGGACACCGTCTGACGGTGACGCCAAAACGGCAGCTGCGCGGCGGGCCGGTGCTGCGAGGGGAGGGGCCCCCAAGGCAGTGGCGTCACTAGGGTATCACCTGTCAACAGTGCTGTAACTCGTACCTGTCACCAGCCAGTCAGGTGCGGGCAGGACATGGCTCCTGCTATTGGACGGAGGGAGGGAAGGGCCTGCCCCTTGGCCAATGAGAAAGGGAAGAACTGTGGCGAGCCGCGGGAGGTGGGGCCGGAGGGGCAGGCCAGGCCGCACAGCACTGGTGGGGGCAGGGTCTCCTGCCCGCCCACTAGGTGTGTGTATGAGGTGGGTGACACCATGAGTGACTGCACCGAGTGACACCAACCCTAGTGATGCCACTGGGCACATACATGTTTTTTGATGGCTAATGACAGTCCTTGTGGAACCCTGGTGGCTTAGTCGTTAAGTGCTCGCTGCTAACCAAAATGTTGTAGTTTGAACCCACCAGGGCTCCAAGGGAGAAAGATGTGGCAGTCTGCTCTGTAAGGATCACAGCTTTGGAAACCCTGTGGGACAGTCCCACCCTGTCCTCTACAGTCTCTGTGAGTTGGAATTTGACTTGTTGGCTATGGGCTTGGTTTTTATTTTGGTAATGACATTCCTAGTTCACAGCTCTGGGTGTGGATGGGCACGTCTGGATCCCCACGGGGGCAAAAAGCAAGATGTAGGTGAAACTTCACAGAGGGAGCTTGATCCAGAGAAAGTCACCTTAGAAGTCATTACTGAAGTTAAACATTAACCAGGAAAGGCACACTTTGTTCCTCATCTCTCAAGTACCACCTGCTTTACTTTGTTTTAGTTTTTTGAAAATATATTTGATACCAAGAAAGAGTTCAGTGACCCAAGCTTGGCGGAAGAGAGGGCAGTTAGTGCCAACCAGGTATTTCCAGGCAAAGGGAGTCCTTTATCTGTGTGCTCAGGCTCCCGCCCCTACAGATTTTCAATGCTTGGCAATTTTTCAATAAGAAAGTAAAGACAGAAAAAGGGGGGGGGTGGCAGGAAGAAGAGGGAAGGGAAGAAAAGGAAAAGAAGAAGAAGGAGAGAAGGAAGGAACCACATCATGGTGAGGTTGGATGTGCGGGGTCTCAGGGAGAGAGAGTAGGAGCCCTTCCTAAAGACCCTTTAAAAACACAAAACACTGAGCACATGGTTCTAACTCTTTATCCAGGATCATCACACTTTGGGAGGGCAAAGCTGAAATGAATCCAAGAGAGGTGGCCCCCAGGTATAGCAACTCTCAGAGCTCCTCTTTTTGAGAGTATCTTTGAGATCATCGGAGGCTCCTAGACCCAGGATTGCCCATGCCCATTGACCCCTGGGACTGCTGAGGCATTCCATTACTATACACTCTGCTTTACATCTCTCATTCCATGGACTGAGCAGATGTCCTACTCGATCCCCCTAAGGAATGGGCATCTAGGGCTCCATCGTTGTCTTCTTACATAAGCAGAATGTGGCTGCATTGACTGGACAGCACTCTTTCATCCTCAGCTATGAGCCTTCTGGCCTGGGCAATCTCTTTTTTGAAAGACCAGACCATGTGTCCACTACAAAGTCCACTCCCCACAGTGCCTGCAGTTGCAGCTTTTGCTTCTACCTAGAGACCCTCGTTGTGGCCCTGCCTCCCTGGTTCTCTGATGAGGCTGAGGAGAAAGTTTCAGGCTGGGCCGTATAGGCCCAGGTTCCGTGCAGCTTGGGAGATCCTGGGAGTTTTCCTCTGGGGAAATGGATAATGAGCTGGTTTGCCAGACCTGTGAAGGTTCTCCGTGGGAGGAGGGCACCGGCTGCTCCTGTTTGAGCCAGATTGCACCGCCTTTGCTTGAGTACTGCCCACCTGACATTCATGCTGGGCTGCCGCCGGCATTTCGGTCCCTTGCTGAGTCCTCTGACTGTTTTCAAGCAAGCCCTGATCTCCTTCCTGAGGGAGCCTTCGCACAGTCCCAGTAAGCCTGCCTGTGGGCTGTACTTGATGACTGGTTTCCTGGCAGAAGTTCTGGCCCAAGCGATGCATCTCTAGGTGCGTGTGCCATGAAGATGTGTGGGTCTGAAGACAGACTCTGTTTGCCTCCTCCAGCATCCCCTTGGCCTCAGGCTTTGCCTCCTCCAGAGACAGTGAGTTCCTTCTTTCCTTGTTAATCCAAACGGCACTGACCATGGGCTGAGCAGGAGCAGGCACGTTCCCCCCTGAGAAGGGAAGGCACAGCAGGGTCACCACTGGAAGCTACATGGGCAGCTCTCAGGTTTAGTGCTAAGGCACTTGACTGCTAACCAGAAGGCTGGTGGTTCAAACCCACCAACCACTTCTCGGAAGGAAGATGGGGCAGTCTACTTCCGAAGTGATACTGCCCTGGAAACCCAAGGAGGGGTCGCTATGAGTCAAACGACTCGTCAGCAGAGAGCTGGGTTTTTTTTTTTTTCAGGGTTTAAACTGAAAGAATGCCAGGCCCAGAACATCAAGGAAGCCAGCTACCAAGTATACTGCATGTGTGAGAATAACTATAGTAGCTAAAGTTTAGGGTTGTTGTAAGAATTAAACAAGTCAATACAAATAAAGCTTTTATCGCAGTGACTGACAGGGTAAAACTCAATAAATATTAGTTATCATTAGTATAAATAGTGATAGTACTAGTAGAATGAAGGGGGAGAAATCAGGGTAAGATAAACCAAAATTAGGAGGAAATGATTTTAGGGAGCCAAAAAAGAAATTATCCCCTTCACTTGGGCAGCACAGTGGGGTACCACTTGCTGAGATAGGGAATGCAGGAGAAAAAGCAGATCTTTGGTTGGGAGAGATGGACTTGTTTTTGAATATGTGGCATTTCAGGTGCTTGTCTGCTGAGCCTCCAAGCAGCCTGGATTTGGGAGAGACATTTGGGCTAAAGACCCACATTTGGGATCATCAACTTATAGGTGGTCGTTGAAAGTCATAGACATGTATGGAATCAGGGAGAACACATGTATAAATTGATAAGAGCCTGGAGTGAAAATTAGGGCTCTGGAATATTCAGATATTTAAAGGACAAACAGTGAAAGAAAAGCCAACGAGGAGAGAGGAAGAGAGATCAAACTCAGGAGATGTCACTGTCATGGGGACAAGCGAGTAGAGGAATTTGAGAAGACGATGATCCTCAGTGTCCAGGAAGCAGAGCCGGGAAGACAGAGTGACCATGGAGCCAGGCTGCTGCTACAACTAGATCCCAGTGTCTCGTGACGCCAGGTTGCATTGGAAGCTCAGGAATTCTGGGAGCTGCCAGATGGAAGGAAGGGCTCAGCAACCAGGAGGCAGAAGACCATGAATCAGAATCAACTTGCCGGCAAAGGGCTTGGCTTGGGTTTGGGTTCGAGAATGGGATGGGGCTTTAGGAGGGAAGCTTTCAACTCATGCCCTGCAGAGATGGGGGCACTATTTGGCTGTGCCACTTCATCTCTAAGGGATCCCACCAGATGGCACCAGCCCAAGATGGGAAGTGTGCTGTTTCAGGGGAGAGGCAGCACACTACTGTGTGGATGAAAGGCCACTGATTGGACACTTCAAAATGGATAATATTATGTTATGTCAATTTGGCTCAATAAAAAAAACTAACTTTAATTTAAAAAAAATAAATAAAAATAGAAAAGCACATTTCTTGTCCAAACGGCAAGCTTTCTCTGACCCTCGACTTTGCTAGCCTAGCCTAGTGCAGCCTGGCCTTCATTGAGTCCACTGAACTGTACAGATAACCACAGAAACCCACAGGGCAAAGCTTTGAATTTCAAGGTATCTTCCCACCTCCCTAGACATGCTCACCATTTCTGTCCTCACTGGTTTTCCCAAGCCTGGTGCTCCTAACTTCCTCTTGGAATGAATGTTGACTGAATTCGCAAAAGGAGGAGGCTTCTTCCTGTGAGGAGGGGGCTTCTGTGTTTGCTTGGCCCTGCCCTGGCAGTGGTGTGAGGTGGTGACAGCAAGCTCCAGGAGCCCGAGGTACCTCATGGGTCCCTGAGCCCTGCACTCCCCTGACCCCCAGAGTTCCCAGGATGCTAAGAAATGCCACGTCTTCTCCCTCGGAGCCAATTTCTCTGGTTTGCAGGAAGTACCTCAGTTAAACCCAGCGAGGAAGCAGAGCTCCTGTCTCCCATCTGGCTTTGCAGGGTGGCCAAGCCAGGCTCACCAAGCCAACCGGTCTAACGAGATCAGGACAAAGGTGCAGAGTGCAGAATCTGTGTGGTCCGGTCGGACTGAGGCTCCTGGATCATCAGGAAGGACAGACCGAGCCGAGCTGAGCTGTCCTGAGCCACCTCTCCTGGGATCTGCTCTTCTCCATCAGCAGGGCTGACCCTGACCTTGCCCTCCCTGCATCATCTTAGCCACCCATTTGGCTCACAGCCAGGCCCTTCTTCCTCCCCATCACTTGTGCCCCCAGTACCAGCCCAAGCCTACCTTTCGGGAGCACCACCAAGTGGGACTGGGCTCTCTGCTGCTGCTTTAAGGCTTCGTACTGGGCTCGCAGGAGCTGGATGCTGAGTGAGGGCCCTTTATCTGGGGCCTGAGTCCCGGAGCCCTCAGCCATGAAGTGAGACCCTGGTTGCCAGAAGTGGGGCAGGGCAGGGCACGGGCAGGGCAACCCCTTCATCCGGATCCGGGATAAAAGCCAACAGTGAGGGGAGGGGCAGGGACAGGAGGAGACTGGATGGTAGGGTGGGAGGAGGGAGAGGAAAGGTGGAAAGATAAGGGGGGTGGGAGGTGAGAGTGAGGAAAAAGTGGAGGGAGAGAGAATGGACTATAAGAGAAAAGGAGAACGGGGAGAAGGGAGGTGGAATGTAGGAGTGAGTAAGAACTGTGGGGTGAAGAATTGTAGGAGAAAGAAAGACGGGAGTTGGAGAAGGCAAGGGGAGGAGGAGGGTTTGGGGAGAAGAAAAGAAAAGAGGCGAGGAAGAGGGAAGGAATGGTGGAGAGGAAGGGGGCGCGGGCAGGGGGCAGGTGAGAGGAGGAAGGGAATGGGGTGATTGGAGAGTCGAGGATGGAAGAGATGAAGGATGAGGGGAGTAGGGAGGGGAAAAAGAGAAAGGCAAATACAGGTGCTCAGAGTCCTCGGAGTTGAAGGAGGTGTCTGATCCCAGGGCCTTCACGACTTGATCCTTGAGTTTAGACTCCAACTCCAAGAGCTACAGTGAAGTCTCACTTCCTGGTGAGCTGGTGCTGGAGAGCGTCAGGTGCCTGCTCTGCTCCCACATCCTGGACTGGAGCCTGAGCACTCACATGGGGGCCACCACAAGCCAGATGCAGGGAACCTGCTGGTTTGGTTTGCACTTGGAAATGAAACACCTTCTGCAGCCTCAGAAAGTTGGTGCCTTGGAGATGTGACTGCTGTAACGATGCCCTAGGAAACCCAGTCACAAAGATTACCCCCAAGAATCCCACTGACCTCCCCCAACACATATCCCATGGAAAAGCCCAGCCCCCAAATCAGACATGGGTTCAGAGCCCAGGGTGGCCTGGTCTCTAGCCAGTCCCACCCCTTTGACACTGGATGTAGCCTCAGTGGGTCTCAGCCCTTTCCAGCCAAGCAGTAAACTGGTGTTTATCTCCTTCCACAGCCTGGCACACTTTTACCCTCCACTTGTCAGCCCCATCTCTTCTAATCCTAGGTCCTCTCTCCTTTGCACCAGTTTTGACCTATCCCTGCTTCAAGGGTATTAGGTAAAAACCATTTGGTCAAGTAAGTCTCTTTCTGTCTTTTCCTAATATGGTACGTACAGATTATCCAATTATCCAGATGTCTATAGAGGCAATGGAAATAGAGGCTGAATTTAGGAGATGTTTTAGATGTTAACATACAGGATCTAGACATCAGGTGTGTGTGTGTGTGGGGGGGAGAAGTGTGAATAATGGAGGGTAAATCTTAATTGGGTAAAGATGCTTGTCAACCTGACTACACGTTAAAGCCTTTTGGGGAGTTTTAAAAACACCAACGCTTGAGTGCCTTTCCTAAATCCTCTGATAGAATTAGTCTAGAGATTGCTATGTTTCAAAAATGCCTTGCTCAGGGAAGAGGTAACTGCAGGGAGGATGTAGGAAGAGAGCTGTCACACTGTGGGGCACTGTGGCCAATGTCATGAAACAAAATCTGTATGAGCTGCTGTGTGGAAAATGAATTTGCTCTGTAAACTTTCACCCGAATCACAATAAAAACTTTTTTAAAGAAATAATTCCTTGCTGCTCTAGAGGCCGTCCTCTGAGTCCTTGGGTATCTGGTTCAGTGACAGGTCGTGGGAGAGAAATCTTCATTTTCTTTTGGTTCCTATAGTTCCCCTCTCTCTTTTAAAACCCCAACCTTTAATCTGGAATTGGGTTTAGTTAGGTATAAGGCAAGGCTCTAGCTACTTACCTAAATAAATTACTTAAATAATTAACCAACTGTCACAATACCACTTATTGAATACATTTTTCTTATCTCATGATGTGTGATAATAATAATAGTGTAAAAAAAAAAAAATTGGCAACCCATCCCAAGGAGTCTTCATAAATAAATGAAAAATGTGATTTTGACTCGTAGCGACCCCTCCTTGGGTTTCTGAGGTGGTATCTCTACAGAAGTAGATTGCCCAATCTTCCAACGAGTTGCTGTTGGGTTTGAACCACCAGCCTTCCGGTTAGCAGTCAAATGCCCTTAGGCACTACGCCACCATGTTGTTGTTGTTACGTGCTGTTGAGTTGGACCCAACTCATAGCAACCTCTCCTTGGGTTTCCAAAATGGTATCACCATGCAAGTAGATTGTCCAACCTTCCTTCCAAGGAGTGGCTTTGAACCTCCAGCCTTCTGGTTAGCAGTCAAGTGCCTTAGGCACTATGCTACCAGAGCTCCTTTGCCACCATAGCTCCTAAAAAACAGCCAATGCTGTCATTGAAGAGTGGCCTTTATTATTCAGGCAGACCCTAGGGTAGCAGGGAATAAGCCACAGTTAAAGGAACTCCAGGAGTTCTGGTGACATAGTGCCTAAGGCATTTGACTACTAACCAGAAGGCTGGTAGTTCAAACCTACCAGGCACTCCCTGGGCAATCTACTTCTGTAGTGATACTGCCTCAAAAACCCAAGGAGAGGTCTCTGTGAGTCAGATCTGACTCAACAGCAGTTAGTTTGGGTTTTTTTTGTTTTAAGGAACTCTGGTGGTGCAATGCCTAAGGTATTTGACTGTTAACCTGAAGGTTGATAGTTCAAACCCACTAGTTGCTTTGTGGAAGGAAGACAGGGCAATCTATTTCTGTAAAAATTTACTGTCTTAGAAACCTAATGGGGATTGTTATGTTATGAGTCAGAATCAATTTGATGGCAGTGGGTTTTTTTTGTTGTTGTAGTTTGACTCAGAATTTACTACTCTGAAGTAGGGATGAAAACCAAACCCACAGCCCTCACGTTGGTTCCAACTCATAGTGACCCTTTAGGACAGAATAGAACTGCTCCCATAGGGTTTCCAAGGCTGAAATCTCTGCAGAAGCACACTGCCTCATCTTTCTCCCATGCGTGGTTGGTGGCCTCAAACCACCGACCTTTTGGTTAACAACTGAATGCTATAACCATTATGCCACCAGAGCTCCTTCAAAGTAGGGATGAGGTGTGCCATTATTTGAGGACATATTGTCTTTTCTCATGTATATTTGAAATATGTGAAAATTAATGTCTGTTGAGAAATTAAACACCCACACACTTCTAGTCACTGTCAAGTTGACTCTGACTCATGGTAACACCACATTGGGTCAGAGTACAGCTGTGGTCTATGTGGTTTTCAGTAGCTAATTTTTCCAACTCATAATGACCCATTCAAACAGAGTAGCACTGCCCCGCAGGATTTCCAAGGCTGTAATCTTTACGGGAGCAGTCTGCCACATCTTCCTCCCAGGGAGAAACTGTCAAACTTTCCATTAGCAGCTGAGCACTTAACCACTGTGCTACCAGGGGTCCTTAATGGAGCTCATAGTAAGGAAAATTGGAGGTGGAGGCCCCAGGTCCACTCCTGTCTAAGGGATCTAGCTATTATTCTGTAAGAGTTGAGTGGTCAAAGGTGTCACTCAGCACTGGGGCACTGCTCCAGAGTGAATGACTCAGACTTGAGGGGCTGGTGGAGCTTCAGAGACTTGAAGAAGGAAGCCCCTCAGGGGAAACAGTTTGAGAGCCAAGGTATACAGTTGAGGTGAGGCATGAGTAGCTTCTGTCCTTAGAAAGGGCTCAGGTTTTGGGTTTTCACCATCGGACACTCAGGGAAATCTTAAGTGAGCCCGACCTGTCACTTTTCCTATCCTATATAATAATTTCCCTCTGAAATTACCCAACCCCTACAGCTTAGTAAGTTAGGCTTACTAACTTACAATTCTGACTCATAGAAACCCCCACTGGATTTCTGAGGCAGTAAATCTTTACAGAAGTAGATTGCCCAGTCTTCCTTCTGCAGAGTGATTGGTGGGTTTGAACCATCAAACTTCTGGTTAGCAGTCAAATGCCTTAGGCACTAGAGCTCCTTAAGTTAGGCTTAGAGAAACTAAAAGTATGGATGGCAAGGAACACAAACCTATTTCCCTACCCTTACCTTCTCCCTGTTCCAGTAAGGAGGGCCTCATGGACTGTGACGGGTTTCTATGTGGTGACAGGCAGTGTCTACAGGGAAGCCAATCATGGCAGAAAAGGACTCAGGACATCGAGGAGTGCTCCAGGGCAGACAAACCTCTGTGACCAAAGTTCTCAGCCTCAGAGAAGGAGGAAGCGTCCTCTCTGAAGAAGATGAGGAAGGCTGAATGCATAAAAACAATGCTGACATTCATTGAGCCCAACCTGCAAAGGGCCAGATACCGTGTTAGTCACTCTGTGTACACAATACAATTTAATCCCCCATGGGAACACTGTGAGGTAGGTCATACTATTGTTCTTTCTTTTTCACCGGTTACATTGAAGTCAACCTCAAGCCCTGGTGCTTCCAGCTCTAACATATGCCACAAATCCATACCCTCGTCTCCACCTGCACTGCCACCACCCTTGTCTAAGTTCCTGGACTATTGCAACAGCCTCCTGACTGGACTCTCGCTTCCACGCCTGCCATCCACAGCCCATTCTCCTCATAGGAGTCAATGTTCTCTTGAAGGCACAAAGCTAATGGGATCTTGTGTGTTCTCTCTGGTTGAAACCTTCAGTGGCAAGGGTAGGATTGCGCAGCTGAGTATGGTTAAGTGCTGTCAATAAGTCGCATATCTGTAAAAAGCTGAAATGGCAAGAGTTGGGTAATAGATATATTTCAATCATGACCAAAATAAAAAAGACTAGATGCTGGGACTCCATAGGTACAACCAAACACCTCATGGGATTTGGTTCCTTGATCTGGAAGCTTATGGTCATGGTTTCATGGGAAATACCAGTTAATTGGCCTAATAACATGTTTATTGCTTCTGTTATACCTCCTGTAGTGTTTGGAATCTCAAAAGCTTGTAAGTGACCATCCAAGGCACAACTATTGGCCTCCATTTGCCTGGACCAACAGAAGAAGATTGACAGTCAGGAATAGGAAGAGAAAATGAAATGTGTGGCTGATTTCCTCCACAAACAATTCTCTCCTTTGCCATGAGACTACAAGAACTGGTTGGTGGC